ACCCTGTCTCCGCCGCCTGGGCCCTGATTGGGCGCGACCTGGACTCTCGGGTGCTTATTGGCGTCGCCAAGTGCTCGTCACTGCCCCCTCCCGCCCTTGCATGCAACGCGCGGAGTCCGCCTGCTAGCAAGGTAGGTGGCCCGGCAGCCAGAGCCGTCAAGGGCGCCTTGGAGAGTGACCCTCGGACCCCGCCGCCATCTTCCGGTCGTCCCAGTCCCGCCCCGCAGAGAAACCCGGCCGGGTTCCTGTTAGAATCCTGTCAGGTGTTCGCTTGTGTTAAGAGGCGGGGGCGCCCGCCCCATTCTCTTAGTAGAGTGCGGGGTGGGGCGGGGCTCCGCGTGTCTCTGCAGGGGCTGGGGGCTCCCGGTGGTTACCGCCATTGCAGAATTACAGCTCAGACGGTGAAGGAGGTCTGACCTAACCAACTCCGTCTTGCTTCTCTCCTTGTTCATTCCTGAGCTTCTGTGAACTAATTTGGGGAGGAACTTAGTTTATAGTTTAAAACAAAGAGGATAACAGTCCTTTCCCAAAACAAATCTCCTTCTTGTCTGAAAACTGGACTGCCCTTGTAGGACTAGTAAATTAGCCATAAGACTAGAAATTACGGTTTAGGAGACATGCAGCTGGAGGCCACAAGATTATGATCCTCCTTAAACTGCTCTTAACATCAGTGCTTGAGGTATTTTGCTGACCCCACCCTTGATGGATCCTGGCACCACCCAGGTGGATAAACTGACTTATCTGACCTTGTGGCCCCCACCCAGGGACCAACTCAGTGCAAGAGAACAGCTTCAATTCCCTATGAGTTCATCTCCGACCCAACCAGTCAACACTCTGGACTTACTGGCCTTCCCCCACCCACCAAATTATCCTTAAAAACTCCGATCCCCAAATGCTCAGGGAGACTGATTTGAGTAATGTTGAAACTCCAGTCTCATAGTGGGCTCTGCGTGAATTACTCTTTATTGCAGTTCCCCTGTCTTGATAAATCGGCTCTGTCTAGGCAGTGGGCAAAATGAACCCATTGTATGGTTACAAAGTTGAGGGTTCGTCTGGGATAGCCCTTGTGGCTACCTGTCCATGATAGCTCCCCCTCTGGTGACAGATCCAGAGGCCAGCCTAAGCGGCCACATAGTTCTCTTGGACTAGGGGCTGACTCTGGCAGTGTCTCTGCCAGTGGGGCGCTGCTAGCCCAATGTGCATGAACTTAATTGCAATGGAGAAATAGTCTTGGGGAGACATCCCATAACTGTAGCGCTATCACAGGATGTCTGTAGCTCCATGGTGGGCGCTGTAGCCAGGTCATGGAGTGTCTGTAGTTATAGCCCCATCATGGGGTCTCAGGTTGCTGAGTATCCTAGATGCTGCCAATGCCTCCTTCCTTCTCCAGACTGATTCTGTAGCCGCATGGTGGGGTGTCTGTAGCTCCACCATGGGGTGTCTGTCTCAGTTTGGCTCCTGGGGCATCTCAGTTGGCTCTCCCTAACTAAGTAGGAAGAGTTTTGGTTCGGGAGACTTCTCAATCAGGAAGATTTCAGGGAGATTTGTCAGATGGAGAATAGGAGGATAATTTGGAAGGGATACTCTTGGAGTTCTTGGTTAGGGATCTTAATTTGGAAGGCCTTGTATGACTCATCTTTCTGTGTGTGTGTGTGTATATATGGAGGGGATCTCTGAAGGAATTGCTGACGGAAGTCCAGCAGGCCTAACTTGGAGAACACACCTTATTTATCTGGTCACATTCAGTGAGACCTGAAAGAAGTTTAACAGGCCTGATTCAAGGTGACTGCTCAGAGACTACCCATTGAATTCATGATCCGAGGTCACCCCTCCGCACTGTGAGTAGATCAAAGATGGCAGAGACCAACAGGAAAAATTTGAGCCTTGCCAAGTCAATGTTGGGTGCTGAACGAGGTGACTCGTGTTTGTTTTGTTATGTGTATTTTGCTTCTATTGGGATGGAAAATGTGAATTCGGCTCCCCATGCAGCCTATTGGGCAGCATCTTGCAAAATTGAGAATCTTTAGTGTATGGTTCCGTAAAACAGAAAAGGGTGATCTTCTTTTATAAAGTGGCTTGACCCCCACAGCTGTGGCACAGTGAGCAGGATCATCGGTTCTGGAAGCTGCAGAGAAAGGGAACCTGGAAACCTACTATGCTGACAGAAAGGGTAAGAAATTCTTACCACCCAAGTTTCTGCTGTGTGTGTGTGTGTGTATAAATGGTAGATACCACTGTTTGTCTTCTCTGCTAGGGTTTAATAGAAAAAAGGTATTTGTGAGACTGTTTTTAGGCTGTAGCAAATTTGGTGCACTTTGTGCTAGGAATTTATCTTTCTGTAACGGAGAGAAGGGTACGTGGGTTTAGGACTTCTATAAGCCCACTTTTCAAGCCAGCCCTGCAGGCTGGTCAGTTCCAAACTTTGCCGCAGGTCCCTGAAACCAATACCAGATGAAATTTCTCTGTCTTGTTTTGTGTCCTTAAGACCTTAACCTCGTGACCATGTGGGGATACATTCTCTTGGTCTCCACCAGTCAGAGGACAGGAAATTTAGGGTTCATGTCATAGCCTTAAAAATTCACTTGAGCAGTTAAAAGCCTTTGCAAGTTTGAAATTGGCTGCTGTAGACTTCTGGTAAAAGCAGTAGAAACTGCTCAGTGCTGTGTAGCTCAGTTAACTAAGGCTTTATCTTTTGACATTATTGACCCGTGTTCAATTCTTGGCTTCGGGAATGATGCCTTTCTGATTTGTTACTTGTGTAACTTTGCCATTTATTGAGATTTTACCCCCCATGGCTGGTTTCTGATTTCCTGTCTTGACTGTCTTGAATTTTCCTTTCTCTGAACTACCCTTAGAGAGATTCTAAATCTTGTAAAAGAAAACACTGCTCGCCATCTCTTTGAAGCACCTTATGCATCCATGGTTAAATTATAACCTTAGTTAAAACTTACAAATTTCATGTGGAAAGTTACCTGTGGTAGAATTCAAAAGCCAGAAATATTGGCTGTCCTCCCTACAGTCTGGTAATAAGAGATTTTAGAGGATTTTTTTCTTTTTTCTGAAATGGAGTCTTGCTCTGTTGCCAGGCGGGAGTGCAGTGGCACAATATTGTGTCTGGAATTGGTGGGTTCTTGGTCTCACTGACTTAAAGAATGAAGCCACGAACCCTCATGGTGAGTGTTACAGTTCTTAAAGATGGTGTGTCCAGAGTTTGTCCCTTCAGATGTTCAGATGTGTCTGGACCTGCTTCCTTCTGGTGGGTTCATGGTCTTGCTGTCAGGAGTGAAGCTGCAGACCTCTGTGGTGAGTGTTACAGCTCTTAAAGGTAGCGTGTCTGGAGTTGTTCGTTCTTCCCGATGGGTTTGTGGTCTCACCGGCTTCAGGAATGAGGCTGCAGACCTTTACAGTGAGTGTTACAGCTCATAAAGGCAGCGTGGACCCAGAGTAAGCAGCAGCAAGCTTTATTTCAAAGAGCAAAAATATAAAGCTTCCACACTGTGGAAGGGCACCCAAGGGGGTTGCTGCTGGCTGGCTCTGGCAGCCTGCTTTTATTCCCTTATCTGGCCCCACCCACATCCTGCTGATTGGTCCATTTCACAGAGTGCTGATTGGTCCATTTTACAGAGAGCTGATTGGTCTATTTTACAGAGAGCCGATTGGTCCATTTTGGCAGAGTGCTGATTGGTGCGTTTACAATCCTTGAGCTAAACACAGAGTAACAGAGTGCTAGTTAGCTAGATGCAGCGTTAGCTAGCTACAGAGTACCAATTGATGTATTTACAAACCTTGAGCTAGATACAGAGTGCTGATTGGTGTATTTACAAACCCTGAGCTAGACACAGAGTGCTGATTGGTGTATTTACAAACCCTGAGCAAGACACAGAGTGCTGATTGGTGTATTTACAAACCCTGAGCTAGACACAGAGTGCTGATTGGTGCATTTACAATCCTTGAGCTAAAGACAGAGTCACAGAGTGCTAGTCCTCCAGTTCTCCACTAGGTTAGCTAGATACAGAGTACCAACTGGTGTATTCACAAACTTTGAGCTAGACACAGAGTCCTGATTGGTGCATTTACAATCCTTGAGCTAGACAGAGTCACAGAGTGCTAGTCCTCCAAGTCTCCACTAGGTTAGCTAGATACAGAGTACAAATTGATGTATTCACAAACCCTAAGCTAGACACAGAGTGCTGATTGGTATATTTACAAACCCTGAGTTAGATACAGAGTGCTGATTGGTGCATATACAATCCTGGGGCTAGATCTAAAAGTTCTCCAAGTCCCCATC